AAAAAAAAAAAAAAAAAAAAGGCGTCGACTGAAGCCAATCTGACATACGCGAACTCTGATATGTAGTATTCATCATAACCTAAAAGGCCAAGCAGGTGGGATTGTCAAGAAATATCGCATTATAAAGACTGGTGTTATTGCTGCGTGGCACAGCGTAATGTTAGAACCCAATCGTCGGAGAGTGTTTATTGAGGACTCCACCATCAAGGGCCAGCCTACCTAGCCAGCGATTCGAGTCCTAGTTGTTTAAGTCATACTCAGCTGTATGAGACTTCAACAAGACCTACCGACATGGGTCAAATTCTTGGAATCCTGAAAGGGCGTTCTGTTCAGCCTAGTCTTTATCTTGTTTATCTTGCATGGGTTGACGCCTGGATGTCGCTCTCAGAAAGGCCAGATGTAGGAGTCATTGAAGCTCCTTTAAGCTTGAAGGAGCTCTCTAGGGTCCTCATTGCGTCCAATAGATTCGAGTTGCTCAAGGAAAAAAACCTCACAACAACAATACAATCGTTCAAGACCCACTACAAAACCGGCAATATTAAACTGGGCGGGGCCAAATCTGCAACATGTGAGGAGACAGACCTATTGTCAGAGCGCTATGACCCGCGGACACCCTGTCATTGTGACGGTGATATACCGTACCAACAAATTAAAAGCCTTGTGATTTCTGGGGACTCAACAAAATGCCAGACTGTGGAGAGCACCGTCAGAGCGATGAAAGAAATCCGGGCTCGGCCAGATGAATGGAATAGCACAGATATTTTCACCGTAGAGAGTCTTGGAGATGCTATACATGAGTTGGTATGGGCGAATATGGAGATCCATACGGAATTGGACACTTGTAAAGGCCCTGGCACGGGCCGTGAGATACCTACCGTGCAAGCCCCGGACCGACGCCCGCACCCTGTCAACGATACCAGTCCGGAGGTTTCCAGCCAGCTCTATCCAACATCAGAGTCGATCAAACTATGTGCAGATGCGAAACACTACTTTGCCATGGCTGCAGGTGCGAGTGGCTGCGATTATGGCCTTGCCCGTGCTATTGCCGATTCTGGGAATGACATTTTGATAGGCGATTATTGCGAGGCTGCCGATGAGACAACTCTGACACTACTTTGGCAAAGTGGCGCCGCGGCAATTGCTTTTCTCAAACTGTGCAATCTTTCGGGGCTCATGACCAACTGGCAATTTAACAATCTTATGGCCGGGATTCTACAATTTCGTGCGTTGGGATATTATCGTGATCACTCCCGACTACGTCTGCCAGACGGTCTTTATGGTAGTCGCATGACAAACCTCACGACGCATCGCTATATTGATCTTGGGCTCTTCAACGCAGTTGTGCCAGCTTCCCTCACTACAGGGGAGCAACTGACCAAGCACCAGTATTCTGAACTCGTCAAAGCCTGTGCTCTTATCAATGATCTGGTCGACTTCCGCAGTGATATCAAGCGCAAGCAGCGTGAAAATGTGGTATTGCGTGGGTTGAGGGGAAATGTATGCAACTACCTTGATGAGCTCATTGGGGATTGTCTTGATACTACTGCTAGTCTGCTTGAGACTAGTAGGCTATGCGCCCTCGTTTTAATGGGGTTTTGTAACTGGTCCATAATGAGCTCACACCACAAGGTCTACGAGCTTATGAAAGGGATGGAGTTGGATACAAATACGCCGTTGTGCCAATATACATCGACCGATAATGAAAGCAAGCGAAAGCGCCTACTAAATGCGCTGGCCCCGTTTGGCACGCTGGGCAAAGAAGGCCCTAACGTACGGAGAAGACGATTTGAGCTGGACAAACTATATGCTACTTGCATTGGGAACAAGAGAAGACACTCGGCTTGGTTAGCTGACATATCCCGTAGCCTGCTTTGCCCAGGGACTTTGCGAACCCTCGTCGATGTGGTGCACTATCAATGGGAGGGTCAGGCCGGCGATGTTGAATATTGCCCTTGATGGGGCAATACGATGGGCCTCGGTGGACTTGTTCTGATCAGAGCACGTCTTGAGCGCTTTAACTGTGATTGATGACAACCTATATAGCCGGTGTTAATGGCGGTCGCCACCTGCCGCAAGCTTTGGCCGCATTATCTTAGCGTAAGGCGGCGTCTGAAGATATGGCTGTTGTAGGATACTCGCAGCAAAAGCCGACTTTGCCTCACCCCAGAGCTTTTAGCTGCCTCCGGTGCTGCAAACTGCAGTATTTCGATTGGTAGTTGCCTAAGTTTGGGAAGAGGAGGCTACTGTCCTGGATAAAATTACTAGAACGAAGTATATATAGCATAATTAGTGTTTGCCATTTGGGTGGTGCAGCGGTCATTTAAGTCGAGATGTGAGATTTGTTGTAAGCAAATTAAATATTAATCTTTCGGTACAGAGTCTCAGAACAAGTTGTTATATTTTGTCTAGTTTACGCGAGCCAGTATCATGCTATTCATGCTGATGTATGTAGATATCATTATTGAGTGACTCATATGATATGGAAAAGTGTTCAACATTCAAGATGAATTTAGGCCAGCTGACGAGACTCTGAGCACAGGCGGTGAGGATGATCATCTCTAGGTGACGTGTCACTTGAATAATAGTATATCGTAAAGTATTTGGATCCTGGAGTTTTTTTGGTGGGGGGGGGGGGGACGCGGGCACGTAGATTTCTCTGGATCCACATATTGTCAGATCAGCGCTTCACCCCACTGGATTTAGCCTGCTGATGAGGCATGCAGTAGACCTATCTTATATGTTTCATTTTGTTTTGTCTTGGTTCCACAGCAAAGACACCCCTTGCAGCGATAACGTTCTGTCAACAGGAGGCATTCGACTGCCATATATAATGAAACAGAATTGCCCCTTGTAAAGGCTCCTGAAAGCACTTTGCTGTGTTTCTTCTACGACTCCAGAGCATCATGTTTGAATATGTCGGAAAGAGGAAGAGTGGCGATATCTTGATGGGGCTGCTCCAGCTTCCACGCCAGCAATTCAGAAATCTCGGGTTGCCCGAAACTTGGGATTTTGTAACCCTAGCCGTCACAGCAGTTGTAACTTGCCTGCTTTTTTACCTTGCAATCGCATCGCGGCAGGACCTGGATGATCTCAAGGTTCCTGTTATTGGGTATAACAATCCTTGGGAGCCAAATATGTTTGTCCGTCTGAGGTTCATCCGCGGAAGCAGGTCGATACTTCGTGAAGGGTATCGTCAAGTGAGAGCAATACCTATCTATGAGTGTGTGATTTCAGAGCTGATTTGCCTTTCCGTTTGTGCCATCATAGTACAAACACTATATGTTCAAAGTCCGTCGTGTGGGAACCGATATCCTTGTAGTTTCCAGTCAATACATGGAGGAAATCCGGCACTTAACGAAAGACGCGACTGGATCTGTTCCACCACTTGTCAAGGACTATCCAGGGGAATGGGTACACGGCACGCCTTTTCTCCGAAGTACCCTACAGAATGTCGTTCTTCAACAAAATCTCACGCCAAACCTGCCTGCGATGATTCCCACGATGATTAAGGAAATGAATGCTGCGGTGGAGTCTGAATTAGGGGCTCAGAAAGGTAACGCCTCTTTTAAAACGTCTATCAAGCTTGTGTATAGTAGGCGCAGCATTGAAATTGATAGATCATTATTACAGACTGGACAAAAGTTGACATTCAACCTATCATTGCCCGCATCATCACAAGGATTACAGGCCAGATATTCCTCGGTGAGGTGGAAGGTTCCAATGAAGAGTGGTTAGACGCTACCATACATTACACTGAGAATATGTTTCTCACTGGATGGGTATTGCGGTTCTTTCCGCGTTTCATGCGTCCTTTGGTGGTAATTCTGCTTCCCAGCTATTATAGGCTTCTGAAAAATGTGCACAGTGCACGACGAGTTATTGGAAGAATCGTATCCGAGCGCAGAGCCATGGAGGCCCAGGGAACGCCAGAGTATCGGAAGCCTGCCGATGTCTTACAATGGATGATGAATGCCGCGACTGGGGAACAGGCTGAGCCGAACGACCTAGCCCAGCGAATGCTACTTCTTAGTGTCACATCTATTCACACGACGACTTTGACCATGACGCAGACGATCTATGACCTCTGTGCGCACCCGGAGTACTTCGAGCCTGTTCGGAACGAGGTGGTTGAAGCTCTCCGCAGACACAGGGGATGGAACAAGTCTACTCTCACGGATATGAGCAAAACAGACAGCCTGCTAAAAGAGACGCAGAGATTCAGTCCTATCTTCTTACGTATTCTTTACCTTATCCTAATGAACGACCCACTACTAACATTATCTTGCAGTGACGTGGAATCGGATCACAGACAGGCCAGTCACCCTCTCAAATGGACTTTATCTGCCCGCTGGAACTCGAGTTGCAGTACCATCAAACGAGATCTTGCAGGATCCTGCCAAGGTTCCAGGTATTGACCCTTCAGTTTATGATGCTTTCCGCTATTCTCGCATACGTGAGGACCAGGGCCATCCTGGCAATGCGCAAAAATACCTCATGGCGAAGACTGATCTTGACAATCTTGCATTCGGGTACGGTAAATTTGCTTGCCCGGGTCGATTCTACGCGGTAAATGAGATGAAAATGATCTTCGCGCGCATGTTGCTCTGCTATGAATTCAAGTACCCTGATGGCCAAGGCAGACCACAGAACTTCACTATTGATTCAGATTTGTACCCTGACCCTCTCACGCGCTTACTGATCCGGCAGCGAGATTCGATCGAGGACGGGATAGAAGAACTTTTGGAAACTTGTTGATTAGAGGTAATGCGTTCTATAGGTTCACAGTGGGATATCAGATCCAACGTGAATAATGTAGCGGGACCAGGTAGCACAGAGACAAATTAGAAGATGGTTAGATGCCACACAATCCACAGCCTAGGCCTTAATACGAAGAGCGCCCAGAGTCTACATGCTGTCATATTAAGCTACTATGGAGCTGCTCAAAAGATATAGCCGACCCTTAAAGTTGGGAGAGACAACTCCCAACCCGCACGCCCCAAGCCCCTTTCCGGCCTCGCCGAACCATCGCTCCAGAATGAACTTATGCAGCTGCGGGAAAACCCGACTTATCATGATGTACTACATAGGTAGATATACTCACTTAAGTATTTCCCCGTACCCACTCACCTAGGATCTCCATACCTTCGGCCGGTGTCTCTCGTGGAAGGCCGTGAGGTGTGGCAGCAAGATACGTAGCGACTCGTCCAGGAGAGCACGTAGGTAAGGGGGGGTATTTAACGATCTCATAGGAAGCAGCTAGCTCATTAGGGCCTAGGATTACATCGATCTCCTCACGGAGTTTCGCCATGGCTTCTGGATGGCCAATAAGCTATTGAACCAAGACAGAACAAAATGAAACATAGAAGATAGGTCAACTTCACGCCTCATCAGCAGGCTAAGTCCAGTGGGATGAAGCGCCAGTCAGGCAATACGTGAAGTTGCATACCAATATACTACATTAGGCTTTCTCTCTACTTGAACCCAGAATTTCACAAACAATGATAATTATAGTTCATCACCTAACCCCTTGATATCGTCTCTCTCTATATATAGGTATCAAAACAACAAAGGTCTTCAGCCCACCAACGCCTCCACAACTAAATTCAAGTCCCCCTCAATTCCGATAGCCAAATTCTGCTCCTCCGAATCCCAAGGCGCACATGCAGAAGCCCCTATCCCCGCCCGGATAAGCCGGAAACCAGGATTCGAAACGTCCTCCACCAGCTCCTCATTCGGCCACCTCAACACAGCCGGCGTATTGAGCCCTACACCCAACTCAAGAATAACAGCTCTCCTACCATCCAGATTCCTGGCAACATCATCCATATATTCCTTCCACCTACACTCCTGTGCACGGAACGGTGCAGAGTTGAAATAATCCCCCCCACGCACACAGAGTGTCAGTTCACCGCCGCAGTATTGACATGTAGGAATTTTGGTTGCGTCCGTGAGAACCTGGGTCTTTGGATCGATGAAAGGTAACGCAGCGTCTACAAAGGGGTCGGAAGGAAATACAGCGTCGGGTCGACATTTAGCGAGGCATTGTAGAAATCGGTATTGGCCTTGTGGAGTGGATACCTTCTCTGCTGGGAATCCATTTGCCACGAATCTGCCATCTGCATTAGATGTACGGACGAAATATCTGTCATCGAAGCGAGCCGCAAGTTGACGTAGGGTTTCGTAGAGTTTCGATGCAGGCCAGGACCGGACCATGTTTAGGTGGAGGAAGTAGTAGCCCCATTTTTGGTTGGGGCTGTCCCAGTCGCTGAATCCGAATACGTCGTATAACCGTCCTAGACCGAGGTGGAGAAACCCGGAGAAATGTTTTTGGAAAAGAGATGTGGAGGTATAGTCGAGACCGATGGCTGCTGAGAGGCCAGCACCGGCTGAGATAATCAGGTAGTCTGCTTCTTGGAGCCAGCTTCGCGCCTTGGATATGGTAGGGGTGATTAGTGCCTTGGGTTGATTTAGTGGACTCGGTGGGAAAGAGATTTGATCGCCTAAGGAAGCAAGGCTAGTTTTGAGTTCGGAAATATTCGCTTGATATAACTCGTAGTCTCTCTCCAGGAATGTGTCGAAAATTATATCGGTCACTGATGTGGTCGGGTGATCCAAGCACCATTGCACCACTGTCTCCAGAGCAATCTTGGCGGCTATGTCCGGCGGAAAGGCAAACAATCCTGTTGAGATGCAGCAGAAGGCCACGGCCTTACGGCCGTCTGGAAGTGGGGGAAGTGACTCAGTGGCATCCAGGCAAGAACTATAACAACTTGCTAATTGTTGCTGCTGCAATATTCCAGGACTCTTCCTAGAGTTGGCCTGCGGGCCAATTGTATGCAGCACCCATGGTCCTGGTAGATTAAAGCCCGGGGTAACCTTAGCAGATCCGACCGGTTCTGGATGCCCCTGCTTAAGCATTAAAGAGTTGCATGCATCGCGAAGACGTGGACCGGCAGCAGAGTGGATGACATTGTCAATACAGCGATGGTCCGGACGGAAACAGCCGAGAAGCTGAGAATTGGCAGCGTTGACAATTGCTGTAACGTCAGTTAAAAATGTGATATCGCCTTTCCACAGAGATATATTGATCGTCTTAGAGTTAGATTTCCCTGCTGCCATGTGATTGTTGGGCTTGAATATAATGCTCGGGGTGATTGATGTAGCTGAGGTCAGCGTTGCTTTATTATTCCGATATGTGATGACTGCATCAATGTCGTCCAGGATCTCTGTGGGTAGCTCGGGGATCGGTGGCCGCTGGCACAGCAGTCGTCTCATTGTCTCTAGCTGTGGCCAAGCCTCCATCTGAGAAATATAATCGGGGTTCATGTGGTGCGAACATGAGTGACATGACGGAGGTTGAGAGACATGGCCGTGAGCCTCCTGTATGAGGTGTTGAAGCGCCCTTATCAGTCGAGACTTCATTTTGAAATATTTGATAAATGTTTGTATCCAATATTGTACAGGAGTTGCCTTGTATATTCCGGAATAGTATCAAAGTGAAGATGATGAGTGTAAGATATAAACCAACACAGCCAAAGTGGTATTTTGCCCCGAAATGCAAAGTAAGCTGCTATGTAAGTTAACAAAAGCCTTCTCTGGGAAAATCTACAGAAGAAATTCAAAGAAAACTTTCTGAGAAGATCTAGCATCGTCTATCCTCGACCTAGGGCTCCGCATACCTCAGTTTGTAAGCTTTATCAAACAGCGGAATTTCGGGGATAGTAGTATGAGCCAATCAGGATCGACAGCCGCCCCAGTGCAAACAGACAATCAAAGTGGCTTCAGCCAATAACGGTACATACCAAACAGAACATACAATGTAAACATTCACGGCTAGCCTAATATGGCAATAGCCCCACTTTATTGCCCAGTTTGATCTATTTGCAATAACCTCCTCCGTGACGCAAGATCCACATTTCCATACTCCCAACCTACAGACCTACAAGTATACACAGTAGAATCACCAGAGTCGCTGACACATATACCCACACCTAAAAGCCTATTCACGTATATTAACCCGTAGCAATTTCCAAGAACCCATCAACCCTCTATCCCCAATTTTAAACCCACCAACACCATCTCAATCTCTATACAAAATGCCCGTCAAACCAACAATCGCCATAGCAGGCGGAACAGGCCACCTAGGAAAACACATAACCACTGCCCTCCTCAGCAAACCCTTCATCACCTCCTTCAATTCCATAGTCCTCCTCACCCGCTCCGAAGCCAGCCCCTCCACCTCCGACATCCCCTCCAACCCCAAACTCCAACTCCGCAAATACACCCCAACCAACCTTGCCCACTCCCTCGGGGACATCGACATCCTAATCAACACAATCGGGCCCTCCGGCCACAATTTCAAAGAAACACTCCTCCGCGCCATCCCCAAAACAAATATCAAGTTATATATTCCCTCCGAATTTGGGGTAGACCACTACATACACGACTTCCCGCATCTTGAATGGGACGCTAAAAAGCGGCATTATGAACTCGCGCGCGAGATATTGGATCCCGGGGTGAAGGTCTGTCGGGTGCTTTGTGGATTGTTTATGGAGGATAGTATTGGGCCTTGGTTTGGGTTTGATACTCGTGGCGGACGGTATGAGTGTGTAGGTTCGTCTGGGGAGGTGGTTTCGTTTACTGGGTTGGGGGATGTGGGGAGGGTTGTTGCAAGGCTCTGTGGGTTGTTTGCTGAGGGGGGTGTTGGGGAGGTACCTGGTGTCCTGCATGTTGCGGGGGATACGAGGTCTATCTCTGATGTGGCCAGGATCATGGAGAAGGAGGGGGGTGGGCCTATTGAGGTTACTGAGGTTGCGTTGGGGGAGTATAAGGAGAGGGTTACCAAAGTGGTGGGGAGTGATCCGGCGCCTTATTTGAGGTTTCTCATCGGGGAGGGGAAGATTAATCATTCCCTGGCCGGGTTGGGGTGTGATAATGAGGTGGTGAATCCTGGGGAGCAGGTTTGGAAGTGGAAGTCTTTGGGGGAGTTGGGGAGGGAGACTCGGGGGAGGCCTTGGGGGGATTTTGAGTGGCCCAGTAAGTGATGGTATTACTGTGCCTTTGGTATTCTGTTTCTCTTGACCTATGAGAGGGAGCCATTCAACAGTATATAGGAATCGTGACTCAGACGTTTTATGGATCAGCTTCACTACGCTCCGCATAACAGATAACATTCAACTGTAGGATATGATATATACAATCGTAGACGATTCAGAACCCACTCTAATGCCTGTAGGTAGATCCAATGTCTCCCCACCGGATTTTAGAAAACGTCACATGAGTATCCGGATACAACTTCTCGATCAACGCTGGATCTCCCTCAGTGGCGCTGCACGGTCCTGCATTGCCACCATCAAGCCATTGCATGAACGAGCTTGCGTCGTTCCAAACACTTAGAGCAAGAACCATGCCGCGGCCCAAGGCGTTGCCCATTTCCTCGAGGCCACCAAGTCGGTTGAACGCACTTCCTTCGCCGCTGCAGAAGTCCTTAGTAATTGAGTCGACGGCTTTGCCTCCGGAGGTGACGACAGCATTTTGAATGACCTGGCCGTCCTGGATATAAAGACGGCGGATCTCGCTGAGCTCGCCCGAAGTTGTGTTATCGTTTGTGAGGAATTGGGTTACGACTGTAAATGTCTGGTTGGTGTTAACCTTGAGGCCGTAACCGTAGTAGTCCTTTGCACCTAGGCCGTATGGGTTGAATCCACAGCCGGACTTGTCGCAGACACCGGAATCACCGCACCCCGAGCCGCTGCACTCGTACAGACCAGTTGTGTTGCAAGGGTGAGGTGTAAGTCCTGTTGCTCGGGCGTTGGCTTCCCAAATATCCATTTCCTGACAGCAGGATCCGACACTCTCGGTGTTGCCTTCGCCGTTGATCCAAGGCGTGGTGTAGCATTGAGCGTCACAGTAGCCGGTTCCGTATTTGGCCCCGGCTTGATTCAGGGAGCTTTTCCCGCCAGAGGCCTCCATTTCAGAGAGATATAGAGCACCGTTCATGCCGCACACGAGAGTGGATGCGTCCACATCAAAGGTGAATTCCTGATTCAGGAGTTTCAACATGGAATAGTTCTCTCCGTCTTCGGCCAGGAGGTAGACGCGCGGTGACACGGACTTTATGTCATCGCCAGTTTGCAAATACTGGTGAAGGGTCAATGTGTCATTCTTTGTCTGGACACCGTAGCTGGCGTAGTCTGCGATCCCATCAACGACACAGTTATCGGCACAGGTCTGCTTGTCCGGACAGATGGAAGTGTCTAAGCCGTTGCTGTTGGTGCAGGACGTTTGTGTTCCTTTTTGGTGGATGAAGTGGGTTGCTGCATCCAGGACGACTGAAGTGTTCTGCTTCGTGCAGCCACTCTGCGAAGTACACTTATACGTGGTGAGTCTGGGATGGGCATCCGCTGTAGTGCCCACCTGCTGGGCCGTTACTAGTGGCAGGAGTGCCACAAAGGGAGCGAGTGTCCAGATCATGCTGAAAGTCCTCTCGTTACTGGTGTATAAAAAAGTATGTTTGTTCGCATTTCTGCGCTGGGGCGTAGCCCTTATTTATGTACCATGTTAACACAGAGCATCAAGGCTTATGGAAGTTTCAGAGCGCCTGATATGGGACTGCGACCATTCCGGCCCGACGGTCCGATCTGATTCATGCACTTTTTTTCCCGGATGTTTCATCTCCATTGTGATCCGGTTTTGATTATATTAAGATCAACCGGCGCGAAGGATGCGCATCGGCAATGTTGCCAGGTTTAGGGTTATGAAGGGGTCTGATCAACAGCTTCACATAGTAAAAGTAGCGTCAGACTGAGACCGGAGAATAAATAAACGAAACGTTTAGGCTGCAGGTTTGCAGAATCGTATGTTTTGCCGGTCCTTGAACGCCTTAACCGATGCGGAGTGATCTCCGGATTTAGCCGCTGCAGATTGCTTTAGATCAGGAACCCCGAAGAAGTCGGTCTTTTGCCAAGGAACGCGGCAATGAATCCAACTCAAGAAGTTCCCATCGCCCTTAATCTATGTAACATGGATCAATGCCTCCTGTGTCCGGCGGGTTCGGGTTCATTCGGTGCTGACGGACACGTTCTTGAATTTCAAGGTGGGCGAAGATATTTCCAAGGTAAAAACATGCGAAATTTATCCAACAAGATGATATAGATACAGTCGAGTATACAGTACAACGTTGACAGTCCATATGTAATTAGATCCCAAAGACCTCCTTAACAAGTGTCTTTTTGTTCACTGCACTCCATGTAAGTATATCATCACCATGGCAAATGAGAGTCAGGGGCTTACCTTTGCCCATTGCATTCCTTGGGATCGGTCCATTGAGAACCTTCATCTCCTGGGGCATCTTATAAGTTGCAAGGCGATCTTTAAGGGCACGTCGCATGTCAAGAGCACCCCATGGTTTGCCATTGCGACCAGTACTTGCAGCCTTTTCCGCATCGAGAACGACCACGGCAGCAACCTTCTGGCCCCATTGCTCAGAAGGAAGACCCACAACAGCTGCTTCGCTGACTTGAGGACTACAGCAAATCAGTATACAGTTTTCCATACGTGCAGGGAAACCTACAGGGATAGTAGCTCTCTTTCCACCTCCAATGCGCTGACCTTTTCTCCGCCGGTCTTAATGATATCCACACTTAGTCGGCCTTGAATGAAATACATTGGTCCCTGTGCCCAATCTCCACTTGTTCCCTTTCCGGCATGCTCAACAACTCGACGGGTGGCAACGTCCCCAGTCTTGAACCATTTGCTCTTTCCATCATCGCTGTCGACAAACGCTTCTTTTGTGGCTTTCTCGTTGGCCCAGTACTCACGGAAAATGGTAGGGCCACGGAGTTGGATTTCGCCTTCACGCTCGCGCCCATTAGCGTCATATTCCTCTCCAGGCTGAATAACTTCGTTTGTCTCCGTATCGACAAGTCTAGCTTCAACAGACGGCAGTGCCCACCCGACACTACCATCAACCCGATCGGCGAAGTCGAGGCCGCAGCTGATAGCCATGCCGACTTCCGTCATTCCAAAACGCTCGAGGAGGACATTGCCATTGCTGAGATCTTGCCACGCTTGCTTAGTAGGAGTGGGTAAAGCTGCCGATCCAGAGATATTCAGACGTAGATTCTCAGGCGCAATGCCCTTCTTCGCTGCCTCTTGCACATCAGGAGACAGGCTGGGGAAAGAGGATAACAACCGGTTGTAGATCGTGGGGACGGCTGTAAGGAAAGTAATCTTGCTCGCTGAAGATGCGGGCAGAAACGGAGCCGCAAGCCTCTTCCACACAGCATCTGTGTTGAAAGGGAACATGAATTCAATAGACGAGCCTGCTAGAATGGGCGTTACAATGGCATTCACAGTCCCATGGATATGATGCAAGGGGAGAAGATGGAGTAACCGATCCTCCGGAGAATATTTCCATGCCTCTAGCAAAGACGCTGCTTGCGCTGTCAGCGCCGATTGCGGGATCAACACGCCTTTCTAGTGGGTGTTAATATAAATATGTTCCGCATTACCAGGATAAGGTATCCTTACCGGTCTATTGGTGGTGCCTGAGGTATACAGCATCATTCCGCCACGAGACTCCTGCACAATGTCCTGCAAGCTTACTTGATCTGAGATGCTTGCCCCTGTTTTGATCTTCTCCTTGACTTCTAGGATGGGCTCCCGTTCAAGACCCGCCTTCAATATATCCTGTGCTTTAGCCGCATACTTTTCGGTAGCAACGAGCACTTTGGCCTGGGAATTATCCATAATATATTTCAGTTCCCCGACGGGAAAGGCCGGAGAGAGGGGTAAGGCGATTGCATCGCTAGCAAGAATGGAAAGGAGAGTCACTGGGACTACAATCAGCAACCAGCTAGGCAGGGCACACAGGAGCGAAGAGAAACAGTACCTACGTAATCGTAGCTATTCTCCGCCAGGAATGCAACCCTCTCCCCTGCAAGCCCACCTTGCTGACCTCCCGCACACGCAAGCAGTCTTTCCTTTGCACGAACGACATCGGCAACTAGATTGCCGTAGGTAAAGGAGCGGGACGATGCGCTGTGAATGACAGCAAGGCTAGATTGGTCGTGATCTTGAAGAGCTCGGAAGAGAGGTAGATTTGGCAAAGTTGAGAGCGACCGACAATTAATTGGTTGGAACCGATGTTGGTGGCGAGCATTGCATTGTAGAAACGACTGAAATGCGCGACGAGCCAAGGGCGCAGAGCCCCGCGAGAGGGCGGAGATCAGCATGCGTCCTTGCATATTGAAGCTAGCAGGATGCGTATAGCATATCTATCTTCTATAGGAATAGTAATCAGCGAGCAAAATCCGTCAATGGATGTCCAACTGCACAAGTAGACTGATTGATGTCATTGTTTAGAGTCGAAAGTCGGGAGCTTTTGGTCGGAGTCGGAAGCTTTGCCGATCGGCCACATGGAGAGGCCGTTTCACATGATGACATGAAATACCAATTAAATCCATCAATTTATCCATTACTTCCCTACTCTCCTCCGCAAATCAACATCTCCCACTTCTGCAATTCAACCACATCCCATGCTCTCCCTCCTCCGTCACAGCCGTTCAGGCCTTGTTCCTCGTCGCCTGTTCTCAACAACCTCAAGAATGGCTTCCAATACTCCCGTCGAAGATACCATCCGTGAGAAAGTACGAAACACAACCTTAAGGCCTTCGTCTACCCTGGTACAACCGCAATCTAGGCATACTAATATGTCTCAATCTACCAGATCACCACTGCTTTCTCCCCTTCCAACCTTATAATCCGGAATGATTCCCACCTTCATGCACACCATGCGCCGATGCGCGGGTCAACCTCCAAGGAAACACATTTTCAGTTTGTCTCCCCACCGTCCGCCCCTTTGAAACAGCGCATGGCTAATATATTTTTTGTTAGCGTAACCATTACTTCGGAATCGTTCAAGTCGAAGATGCAGCCGGCCCGTCACCGCATGGTTTACGCTTTGTTGAAGGAGGATATGGACCGAGAAGGGGGAATCCATGCGCTGCAGTTGCGGACTCGGACGCCGGAGGAGGAACAGAGGGAGAAAGAAAGGCAGGCACAGGCATAAGACATGACAGTGTGAAATCGCGAGCGATGTTACTGCGTAAATATGAATACTATTATGCGATACCCGATAACGCGGCTGTACCGGTCTGGAGTTGAATCTCTAGCAGAAATTCCGTATGGATGCACTCTGGAAAGCATGTGGGCCACTCCTATAATAGAGCACATTTAATCTACCACAAATTTCCGATTTCTTGTATCGCGATGGCTCATTAGATTGATTAGTGGAATAGTCGATTATTACATAGATCTAGCGCCAAAGGTCAAAGCAAGCGAAGGAACTCTAGTATATACACGTGCAACAGTATCATGCGCATCCTATCCAAGAGCAGCAGTCATCAGGCCGCATTCGATGAAGATGCGGAAACTATACACGACCATCAGTGAATACAAAGACCACGGAAACAGGAAACGCAAACGTAGAGACACTCGCAAGACAAGCTTTTTCAAACACGGACAAAACGCGACAGACAACAATCAAGTGGTATAACAGGGAGTAAAAGTACAAAGGAGATCAAAAGCAAATAGGGAGTGAAATTGGCGGTTGAGCTTACCGTGGTCATAGAGATAACACGGAGATCATCCTGCCGGTGTAAGTCGCACAGGTCGAATAAAAAGAAACAGAAGCAAAAATTCGTTCCAGCCCTTGCATGGGTATACAAGGCTCAAGGCAACTAGACGAGAAGAGGGAATCGAAATATAAAACACAGAGGTATGAAAACGCATAGGGTCGGAGATAAGAGTCGATCGAAGTTCGCGGGGAATCCAACATGACCATAAGGATCACGTCCAGGAAAGTCATGAGTCTACTTGTTTGCCTGGGTGACACCGACAGCGACACCAACAACGATGGCAATGATGAGAACTATGCCGAGGTCAGTTTTTTGCTCCCAAATACAAATGGTGGTACCTGTGATACATACTGATGATAAGCAATGCATACCACTTCCACTTTCTTGCCCGACGCGCGCTGTCAATGGCATGGGTGATCTGAGTGTTGGCGTTCGCGACGTTTCCAGCGACTTCTTCGGCACCCTGGTTGATCTGCTCGACGGCGGGTTCCTGCTGGTGCACAAGCTCTGCAACTTCCTGGTACAGCCGACCAAGCTCGATCATATCTTGCTCAATCTTCCGAATTGCGGCCGAACGCTCCAAAGCAGCCTGTCTGGCATCGTTGGCTTGACGAGTCCGGCTGCCAGTGAGCTAAATCAAACATGTTAGCAACTAACTGTGGCTCGGCAACGGGAGATCTTGGTGGATGTCGCGTACCTGGAAGGTCTGCTCCTGGCCCATGAGAACGTTATCAACACCCTGCTCCAACTCCTCCGGGGTCGCATCGGGGTTGGCGATTTCATATCGGCGGCGAACCTGCTCCCTCAAACGCTTCTGGAAATCCGACTGGGCCCGCTGGTACTGCTCGATTTCGCGGCGCAGGTTGCGGCTTGTCACATCGACCTGGGTCTGTACACGGCTGTCTCCGGAGCCGGGAGTCTGCTTGATCTTCTTCAGGAGGTCACGGAGATAGCGGAAACCGTTGTTGATTTCGTCCTCAACGTAGTCCAGGCTCTGGCGAGAAACTTGGTCTTCTTTTCCGGTGCTCGAGTCCAACAAGGCATTCTGTGCGGCAGCGAGCTGTCCCTCGCGCTTAGCGCGAATATCGGCGATACCGTCGTTGATTTCACGGCACTTGTTGAGCAAGCTGGTCGGGTCGGCAGGCTGGGTGTCATAGCCACCACCCACCTGGTTCATCTCTGCCAAGAGATTGATTAGATGGCATTCGATTGCTTTGCGGTCCGCCATGCGCGCTTACCATAATTACCATTACCCTCCTCTATACTGCTAGCCTGCTGGTAGCCTCCCTGGCCACCATAGGGGTTGTATGAGCCGTAGCCGCCCTAAATCAGTTATTCAATTAGTGGTCCATCGAAGCACCGCGCGGTTAAGGGGAGGGGCAGCGTGGAGACGAAGGGGGTCGTATCGGGAGAGCGTACACTCATTGTGATGGAATTTTGCGATCGGAAGGTTATTTAGTAGTCAAAGTGATAGATTCCTCCGCGGTAAGGTCTCGTTTCTTGGTTGTTTGTCGACCAGCCTAAGACAACCGAATCTGGTTGGGACGATGGCAGGATCGGGTCGAACGGGAAACTGGGGGGGAGGAGGGTGGGTGGATCGATTTGCGACAGGACGAAGCTCCGGTGCCGGCAAGAATGGGGAAACAAAGGAGAAGCGTAACTCAGTCAAAGAGAGTAAGGAAAGGTAGGCCAGAAGTTGTCCGGTGCAAGCGAAGGGAAGAAAAAAAAAGTTCAGTAAGGTTATGAGGTAGAAGGTAAATCAGCGAAAAAGAAGCGACGGAGTGAGACACGCGGCTGACTGAGCACCTGAATGGATGATCGATGAATGAGCGGATGGATGCCTGAGGCGGTCCGGGAATTAAGGCGACTCTTTTTCTGTTTACTGGCCCGCAGACGGCAAAAAAGTCGTGACGATTGGTCCCTTTTGTCCTATACAAAACCCCGAGAGGATTGGTCGAGAGGAAAAGAAGAGGAAAAAAGAGAAAGTTCCTCCTTATTTTCCCTTTGCCCTTTCTTTCCCGCACTAAAATTTTGAATCAGGGGGCCGTGAAAATTATGACTCGATTAGGGTGTTTTCATTAATATTAGTTAGGGGCTTGGGGCTGAAGCACAGACCGGACAGAACGACGATCGTCTCATCTCCCCTTTTCTCAATGGCTTAACACGGGGCGGTCGAGATGAATTAGTAGCGACAGTTGGTGATAGTTTCAACCTTGCCCAATTCTCTGAACAACGGCGATAACTCTACTCCGTCCAGTGGATAGCCTATCTCACTACGCTGGTGTCTTCTCCATAGCCTTTACCAATGGCTCAAGGAGCAGCAATATTTATTATCAATGTTCGCAGCCAGACAGATATGCTCTCCAGACTTATTTTAATTTATTATAATTTTTCTATGACCCATTTTCGTTAACAATACTCCGTACAAACATCTCTTACCTGATGATAAACCTTCCCTATTCCGGAGGGGCCAACGTCAACCCTAAATAAAACTTAAGGGTCGAGACGTTCGAGACGTTCGAGAGCTCTGGTACGTCCAATAAGACGGAATCTGTCACATTATCAGGGTCCAGCCACCTTTGAGCTCTGAAGAGCTCTGCACGTCATCCCACATCAACCTGTAGGAAAATTTCATGGTATCTCAGGCCTGCATAAGACAAAGTAAGGGACATATGACCCTACCTTGGTAGTCCACCTTTCTAAGTTTCTCGATGCGCATTGACAGTCTCACCCCATACCATAACCAAACGTGCCACCCGACCAATTTATAGGTGAGATTGCTTCAATTTCCTTCAGCTGCGGTATTCCCCACCGAACCATCCACTTTGAGATGTCACGTTTCAACCCCTCACAGCACCTTATTAATTTTTGATAAAACACTTTTATCTCGTCAGTGCCTTTTTTCTGTAAAGTCTCTTTCCTTTGCAGGTAGTCCATATAAGCAGTCGTAGGAAATTCAGAAACCCTTGCATAATTTAGAGAATCTTGCAAGAACAAAAATAGGAACCCCACCGAGGACCCTTAACGGTTTTTCCTCCCATCTTACTGGTCCAACGTATCCATCCAAACAAATTATATTTAGCAACAATCTCCATCCTTCAACTGCCGGTTCGTCTACCTTCTTGCAGTGCCTAAGACATACTCACTTTCGCCTCCGCAATTCGTCTGCCACTGCTCCGATAAATAGGCAAACAGGTAAATAAGACCCAAAAAAAAAAAAAGGTAATCCTGACAATGATATCATTATCGTTGATCAGCCGGCAAGTTCATGAAACTCTAATTCTTCTGACAAAAGTTTCCTGTTTCTTGAATAAATATATATGAAGCACGTACCTCCTAGGTGTCAAAGCAATATTGATATACTTTAGAATGGTGCATGTTTCGGCATAATCCTTAATATATCAGACTCGCTATTCGCTTTTGGTATAAGATATATAGAATATATATATACTTCAAAAACACGTCTAGAAAATTAAAATCATACAAATTTGAACTAAAGTCGGGGTCTGTGTATTTCTCAAATGCAACTATACTTTTCTAATAGCAAGATTAGTCACTTTTCTGATCATAACTGGTCGAACTGAGGATCTGTACAAATTATGACTCAGTATGATTTAGGATTACCGGCATGGACAGCAGGCAGCAAAATTCATAGGAATCATACCTTATCCTCCCATAGTTATAGACAAAAGGCAGTGTCATTATTGGCGGATGTGTTGGAATTCCCACAATATGACAAAGCTTGATTGTAATCGTCCAATCCCCTTTGCATACCTTAAGGCACACCACCTGCGACCCATACAAGCAAGACTATCACGAGACTCGGGAGCCTTCAACCCGAAACTGTATCTTACTTTCTCCATGCTGTTGAGGCGGTCTTATTCGAGGCTGGAAGAATTTGTTCTTGTGAGTTCTGTGCATAACGCCGGAGAAGTGGAGATTTGTGAAAATTATGTACGGGCGAGTGTCAAGACTCCGGTCTAGTTTTCCTATCTGCGGACGGATTGTATTATGGGGGTGTGGGAGAGCAGGATAGGTATCAAGACCAGAAGGTGTATTCCTGTAGAGGTCCTTGGGCAAGGGTATACGGGGTGGCGAAGATTTTCAAAAAGACTAACTATTATGTTTAGTCCTTGGTCGCTCGACCACCCGACATAGACCGGTATAATTCTGCCGCTAGAGGCCAGTACTACGTGAATTTACGTATTAGCAACTACGTTATCCTAATAAAATAATCTTTAGGAAGAAGGCTCAGCAGTAAAATTGGGTTTCTATTAGTGTGTACATATATTGTCTTGCTCTTTGACTACCAGAAACCGAACTCTTCCACGTTAAATCCGCCTTCAGACATTCAAATCAATCATTAAGCTCGACGTATTCACAAATCATAAAACCCCTTCATTACACTCATTACTCTAACGGTCATAATCCATGATGAAGATGGATGGAGTTGTCAGAATCCCATCAAGCGCTGCAGTTGACAATACCGTGGTCCAGGTTGACAGGAGTAGCGGCAGCCGGGTTTCCGTCTAAATCGGCAAAGGTATGCTGAGCATCGAGATTCGCGATGACTGCACCGTTGTTCTTGATGACGCAGTGGATTGTCTGAGGGAACTGTGCCAGCTGGGCAGAAGAAGCGAGAACAGAGCCGCTCGCTCCCACGGAGGTGCCGCCGTAGAGGGCTTTGATGCTCTTGTCGGTTCCATCAGCGGGGAAGGCAACGCCGGCGTAGGCACCGCTCTGGTCGTTAGAGAGGGCCAAGGTGACTTGGTTGGACTGACGGGCCTCAAGAGGAACGGCAGAGACAGAGGCCGTGAGGACGGAGATGATGACGGCGAATGTGGTCTTCATTTTGATAGGGAGTTGGGAAATGGATGGTTCAAAGTAGCCAGATGAGAGAATTCTGATAGTTGAAGGCTGGGTTTGGGATGGGATTCTTGTGATCGATGTGATGATGAAGGATAATGACAACGGCGGACAAAAGGTTGAATTTATATCTTTCCCTTCGCCGTGTATCAGGATGTTGCTGGATCATGATCGGTGTATACGGCTCTTGCAGCTTCCGGCTATACCATTCTCAGGCCCTCCATGATGAAGGCCTATTCCTGTGTCTATAGTCAGCTTAGCAGCCCTCGTAATGGGAATATGTTTGATTGGCTTTGTCTCTCAGGCTGAGACAACCTCTCTCTGTGAAGTTGGCGTGTTCCAATTGGAAGACATCGGAACTGGAGTTTAGGTTCTAGAGGCTGTATAGGAGCCGAGAAATTCATCACTAGGACCTGCAGTCAAGCATATTTTGTAAAGCGAAATAGTAGTATGACGTATCTCAGAAGCCGCTAAATGCAGAAGCTCTTCGAGATCTCCACCTGGAAAAGGTTACCGACGGAGTTCGTATCGGTAGGGCTATGTTTCCAGTTCGGCGAATATACTATAGTAAGACCATGTTTTTTAGGCGTTCCATATACGAACCATCTAAATGGAAGACTAGTGGTGAACAGGTGGGTCTCTCTATCTTTTCAGTGACTGATTTGCCGATATACTAAGGTGTTGCTGTCTTACATTAGAATTATGTGGGGCGCAGTACATCATCTGATCCGGGGTAAGCCTGTCAAGTTGATGGCTAAGGCATAGATTATTCTTAATGGATGTTGAAGACTGGCTCGGCATGGGATTAAGACTGGCCTCGATAGAGTAGTCACGGTGCTATGGCTGCATCATGACACTGATAATCCTAAATTTGACAGCGATAGACCTTGAGAACGGAAAAGAGTAATCATAAATCTGGTTGAGAAGATTAGCTTCCAAGGGAGGGCATACAAATGGAACTGTGACGTTGAGCCACGTGAAGCATTGTATACTGAGTTCACCTCGAGCAGTGATGGATACAGATTCCGATGACACATCGAACGGCCACCACGCCACAACCAGCCTAGTCCTCGTATCCCCCGCAATGTCTCACTTGCTGTACTTTTTGATTAACGATGAATTGTCATGGAATATAATCACCATCGGACTGCATAGTCTATCAGAAATGATCACCTGATTGCTAGGATCGCGTGTGGAGTACCTCACCCTCGCTTCCACATGGACAGTTAGATACCTAGCTAACAGGCTCCCTAAACACCTAAACCGGCATCAGCACTGCCATATTCCCCTTCAAACCTTCACCCACTATTCGAGAAAATAAGAAATGCCATCATAATCATATCCTGTTCAGGCCTGACTGACTGTTGTCTAAACATGGACGCACAAAACGAGAAAGGAAACAAGAGACAGGCGGGCCCCAGAGAGAGGACGGCCATGTCCTACACCATCATTGCATACACCCCAAGACTCAGGGCATTTTCTCACCTCGGCTTGCACAGCATCCGTCACCTGTCGTGTCTCTTCATCAGTAATAGGAACGCCTTCAGCCCGTATCCAGTTCTTGGCAGCCAACCAACATATACTTTAGGATAGATTTCGTCTACTAGCCTAATATCCCCTATATCCCTCAATGATTTGAGCACTAGCAATCTTAACCGCTACTTGCTTTAGTATGCCAATTGATTTTGCGAGATTTCTGGATGACTCTTACGTATTTACATAGCAGTTAAGCATTGATCTGGTGTGGTCGGCACCCATAGAAGAGAACATACCGAGTGAAACTATCTCATTATCTAAGCTTCGTTCTAGACCTCGTGTTTGGTATCTTAGATATGATCCCCTTCAAGCTAGTTATTCTTTAGTGGTAGTCATTTTGGGTTGGCATTATACGAACAGCCACCACCAACATCTATCCCTAAATAGATCATACCGATCTCCCCACGCCGGCCTTTTTATAGAAAAGTCACGTAAGGTTTAGGGCTGGAGTGTCCAAGGCTTCTCGCTAAGCAATTCTACACTCGGCCAAAACTCAAATACATATTGGTTGAATTAGCAGGGATTGTTCAGATGACATGCCTAGGTTGTTCAGGCGTGGGGACATGTCTACTAAGAAAAGAGTATATGCGCTCATAAAGCAATTTTTGTCGGTATGATTCGCTCAATGTCTCCAACAGTTGTAGTCTGCCATTTTATGTAAAGATCTACTAAAGCAGCCTTTGCTTGTCTTCACTATGTCTGATGTTACTCAAAGAGCCGTGGTAGTTGGTGACATGCATGGTAAAAGAAAATTAATAAAAAAAAATTCAAGATGGCTGGGTGATATTGTACATCACTAAAGATCTCACAGCTCTTGTGCTCTAGGCAGGATGTCCACCATGGTGATCAAGAACAACGGCCCTCTTACAGATGAAAATAGTAGTGTTCTCAAAGGAACTGCGTGTTTACAGTATTGGTAAAGCGATTCGCCATCGATACCTCTCGCCTTCTCATGTCTTGTATCAAGATTTTAAATGTAATCGATACTAGGGGAACCTGTTTCTATCTCTTCCTGTTGTTTAATTTTTTTTATTCTATTTCAGACTTTGGAGGTATGGTGTTGTATTGACATAAGAGGCTAATTTAATTCCTGGTGGTTAACTAAAGTATAATAACCCTCGGCTTGATTCGACGTTAAACAGTTTCTAGTTCCTACAATGCCTCCACACCCAAAACAATGCCAAAGCAGTGCTAGACTACACATCTAAGGCCATCTCAACTATGTAAATATACAATTAAAAAGAAAACGAGAGAAAAAAGAGGAGAATAAAGTCTCAATTCGGTCATCGACACTATGCCCGACCCCAAGTCCGGACTTAAATCAGAACTAACAGCATTATATCCGAGATCTAGGAGACCGGCCGGACATTACATCACACTTGCCCAGTAAACAAAATATAAAAAAAAAGCAATATATATATCTCCAAAATATACGTCAAGCAATAGCAATACAGAACTCCAATTTCCCTAACAAACCATGTCCAAACTCGTCATCTTCGGAGCAACAGGCCAACAAGGCCGCTCGATCCTCGAAACAGTCCACCACGATCCAACCCTATTAGAACAATACTCCCTCCGCGCAATCACACGCGACGTAACCAAAAATGCAGCAAAGGAGATCGCCAACCAAGGCATTGAAACAGTCCAAGCTGACATAGATGACCCAGCCTCTCTCCCCAGAGCTCTAGCACAAGCGCACACCGTGATCCTAATCACCAACACCATCTATGACGCGGAGCTCAAAAGCCGCGAATACAGACAGACCAAGAACGTCGGCGACGCAGCTGTGGCGGCAGGTGCCAGGCATATCATTTTCAGCACGGCAGTGCACGCATCGAAGCTCTGGAATGGTCGCGCCATGGACGTCTTTGACTCTAAGGCCGAAGCGGAGACCTATCTGCATACGCTACCGATTAAAGTATCTTTGTTTGCGCCGGGGATGTTCATGCAGAATTTGACTACTATGATGGCGCCGCGGTTGGGTCCGGATGGGACATACAGTGTCGCGGGTGTGCTGGACCCGGACACGAAGGTCCCACTTATTGATACGGTGAATGACTCTGGGACGTATGTTGCTGCTCTGTTGAGGGATGGGGAGGGTGTGAGAGGCGTTACGCTTTATGCTGCGACGGGGCTGTATAGCTTTTCTGAAATCGTGGAGATCATCTCAGCGGCATCGGGGAAGGTGGTTCGGTATGTGCGGGTTCCGGACGATGTGTATGCTGGTTTCATGAAGAGCGATCAAGGGGGTAGAACTGTGGCTATGATGAGGTTCTTTGAGGAAGTTGGGTATTTCGGGCCTGGGACTGGGGAGTTGGTTGAGAAGACGACGGGTATGGTCAAGGGGCGGTTGACTACATTTGAGGAGTTTGCGGAGAAGTATATGAAGGATTTAGGGGTATGCACTTGATTGTTTTCGTATAATTAATTTCTACAATGTGGAGGTCAATTCTAGTTACTAAGTTGGTTCTAACCGGACTCCCGAGTTCATTCAATCTGAGTATAATGAACAAGTTGAGATAGTAACTACCAGGAGAACTAATAAGTTATAACATTGTGCTTTTCATCTGCTGATCTAACCCCATCGAATAAGTCAACTCGTATACTTATAGGTCTGCTGAATCTATATCACGAATCCTTCATTCCATTCATTCCATTCATCACGCATTAATTTTATAAGTAGAGAATAGAGCATCTCACAAAAACCGCGGTGCGAATCCTTCAGCACCCCACTGGACCCTTCCATCATGAAAAATACACATATGGAAATTGATATTTACCTTTGTGCAGGCCCTGTTCAGTTTCACAAGCAATTCTGGCATTTGCGGTAAATGCCGCAAAGGTTCAATGGCGATCTCTTTCAATGCTGGTGTAGAATCCATGCCATATTCAACATGATCCTGTAATTCCTGGACAAGTACCTGAAGATTAACCATGCTTCCAACATCGGCGATTTGTAAAGTCTCAAGTGAGGATGGAAGGGCTTCAGCAAATGACATGCTAGCATGATTATCTCCAGATTGGGTGTTCAGCCCTGGCAAGTTCTCCATTCGGAGATGGAGCGTTCTTAAAGATGTAAAATCCTTGAAGGAAAGGAATGGATTGTTGCAATTATGTGAGTCCTCCGTGCAGTTTTCACGAGAGCTTTCCTTAATATCAAGCCATATCGTCTCAAGTGTCTCTTTGAATGGGAAAAGCTCCTTATAAAAACCACTTGGATCAAAACCGGCGCAACCACTGTGATTGTATTTGAAGGATTGGAGGTTCTTGCAAATACCCACCACCTTGCACATGCCCCATTGCTCATCCCTCTCATCAATCTCAATATGTGTAACAGGAGAAAACCGAGCAACCTCAGTTAAATTATCCTCGTTCGGCCAGCTGTCGTCAAACATTGCAAGCTCACCAAAAAACTTACTTGCATAAAACCGGCGCATTGAGGGCAGCAGAAAGAAAGGGATTATGTTCCTGCAACAAGCTTGCACGTCTTCTCTGTCCCAGTCAACATAAACTTCAGAGAGTGACTTGAAAGCCGGAATAGAATCGAGACGTCCGGCTATTGCCCATTTCAGCACCCAGCGAACCCACAATGACCCACAGGGGAATTCTATCTGAAGTCGCTGAAGATTAGGTAGAAGAGTTAGCAGCAATGCAACCCATCCATCGGCATCTCGCATGGTAATTTCATCCATCCAGTAGTCTGTCGCATCCTCAGAATGGGTCACAAGCTTTGCCTGTTCACGAAGCGGACCATAGTCGAATGTTTTCAAGGAGATACTGCCGTCATCTGAGGCATTATCACCACCATCATATCACCGCCAACATCGCCATCCTCATCCCCAACATCCTCGTTCCCATCACCTACGTTGGCCTCCTCCTGGCTGGTCACCTCCTGTTCCTTCTTCATAGCACACTCCTCTTTGAATGCATTGAGCGCCTTATCAAATTCCGGACAATCAAATCCAATATACCTCTTCCAATCAAAAAGATGTAAAGTGCGAACTCGTGCCGCAAGAGACGGCTTTTCAACCAGGGTACGGACCACCCGAGCAATTGGAGCAAGATTCTTGCCACCAGCGCGTAAATTTTGATAGAGCAACGGCAGACACAAGTCATAAAAAGAGTCGCGAACAGCATACAAAATTCAATCGATCTTTGGGAATCTCCAGATTCTTGTATATCTCTAGGACAACTTCTGGGGGGAATTCTGATAATCTGACCATAGACATCTTTGGGTCTAGGATTATGCAGTTTTTTGAGGAGTTAATTGGGCAGTGTGCTTTGTGATTGAAGTTTTTCAGAAAGTATGTCTTTGTATGAAGATATGGTGGCTTCTGAGGTTTATTCAGAAAGATGTACTTCTGGAAAAGGGTCTTTCGGCAGTATGGTTATTGACATCGGTATTTGGATCGGTTAGTTTAATCGTGGTATTAGGATCGCGATTTAGATGTGAGATTTAGCGTAAAATGCAAAATTGCCTTCAGTTCAGTCCTTAGCGCTTTTTTTTTTTTTTACTTTCGCGCGACCACTGTCGGAAAATGGCCAATTTTAAAATATCTACTCCGTATAGCTCACCCAAGAAGAAGAATAACTCAAAGAGCCTATATTAGCAATGGAAATTAATAATTTGAATATCAAGTTATAAGTTTCTAAACTATACTTAATCTATTTGAAAAGTGAATTCTCCTCTATTTTTAATAGTGTTGATTATGAAACTTCAATCAGAATTCAAAATTACTAAGAATTGGCTAGATTATTAGTGTTTGATATCCGCCAATCTCTGACAATAGAAGCGTGAAAAGTTGAAAAACTGTGCCAATAACTGGAGGCAATTCTACCTACGCTAAATCCAAAGAACGCTCGTAGAATAGGCAGCTGAATGAAGCCCACTCCAGTGCTACTACGACGCGGATTCCATACTGCGAAACCCGTGACATTGCTCGGGTGTCACAACTTACTTAGGGTAGGTATAAGGCAGGATAGGTACACATACGCATAATTATACAGTGCATAAGGTGCAAGGTATATCGCTAATGTAATAATATACCACTCAGCTGCCACTTTTCCATCGAGAGTGAAGGATGATGTGTACTGGATTTACCCATCTATGTATTGCAAATCCTCCAACAGGCAGACCTATATACATTGAATTGCCATCCTTTGTCTCAAGGTAGGAATGATCACCTCTAAAGCCCAAGACCAGAATGCAAGTCTCGGCGTCTAGCGGCACGAGATTCCTTAGAAGGAGTGATAAGGTTGGTAGCATTTCCAATCATCTGGGTCACTCCCATGATGTCCATCAGACCAACAACCTCCTCTCGCCGGGACCATCCCAGTTCAGTCGGAAGACGTTCATTTTCTAAGATTAATATTAGAGAGACGATAGATGATACTAGCATAATGGACTTACCGAAGAAATATTCTACCAGAGTTCTGTTGACCTTTCCGTTTTGAATATCACCGAACGCGATAATGGGAGCAGCAACTTCGCCGAGACTGAATTGTTCCATCGACGACGTGAATGTATAGGTGGGATTATATGCTTTAGAGCTGATCTGGCGAGCCAACTTGCTGTTGGCTAACATGTTGGCATCCAGGGTGGGTTCGGTCCAGTACTTCTTTGTTTCTTCGAAGATTGTCTCGTTGAAGACGTGGTTGTTGCCGAAGTAGGCGTCGGTACGACTTATGGGGATTAGCTCTTGGTACTTTGGTGCAATGGCTTGGAAAGGTTTGATAGAACGAATATAGAAGGATATGCGAACTGACCTCAAACTTGCGTCATGTTCTAACAGGTTGTGTTTGTTGAGTTGATCACTGTATATGTGTCAGGATTGGCTTGTTCCGGCAAACTGATGGGGGCCTATGCGATGTCCTACAGAGTAAAGAACGTAGCGTTGGGCTCTGGGTTGACAACAATAGCCATGTCAAACATCAGGCTCGCGAGTGAGGCATTGAAGTTGAGGGCCGCTGACAGCCCTTCGATGATAGTGTTTCGTGTGATGTTTCTACCGTCGTGGGGAAGGAAGCCATGGTTTGCTAAAGTGTTCATCATGGGACAAGGACCTCGAACTGAAACATATCAGTAACTATGCAAACAAGAGTTCGGCCACCTTCACCGTACAGTCGTTTGCTCCAGCGGGCTTCCATTGCCCATAGTGAGGGTTGGCAGATGCCAGAGCCAATGTCAGTGTAGTAGAGAGGATGGAGAGTTTCATGCTCGAGATTTCGTTTGCGTAGGTATAGGAAGGCTAGTATAAGATTAATCGGCTCAGAGAATACAATGGTCTGCCAATTTATCGTACGGCAGAAAGATATTTATAAAGTCCGATGGAAGCACAGACAGCATTTTGCATGACACAAGCAAGCTATGCTCCTTATGTGAAACTTAGAAAATGTCGCCGGGGATTTTGTGTCAGGTAAGCTAAGACCTGGTATCATTGGCTGACACCATTATTTATCATACGCAATTGTGGATCTCTTCGCAATTCGTACTCGTACCTAAAGCCTATCTTTGAGTCTGCTAACTCAATGACTGGTGCAGGAATAGGCATCCTCAATATCAACAATGCCCCAGATTTTCCTCTGTTGCTCCGCGTCGGGCCCTCCTTTCATGATTAGGGTCTTGTAGCGTTTGCGATCGTCATAGTTCACTAGACTAAGGAGCAGAATCTGCGCCAATGATAGTTGTTGTATTGCATATGCCATGGCGTATATTCTTGTCGTTGCAGAGTAGGGAAAGTTGCAAGTAACTCCATTAACCAATAGAGTTGATTCAATATCGAAGCGAGATCCACTCATGTCGATCAAACCCTCGTACTCGTACCAAGCACCATATTAGGGTGTGTCTACTGCAGAACTCCGCGACAGAATTGATTAAATAGAGGCAGCCGGTAACTGCCTAAAAAACCGAATCCGAACCCGAACCCGGAAATAATATCAAATAATCCGTACTCAAGATAGAAATCGACAACGTCCAAGTTGCCTACAACAGTCTGTTGACGTATTGATCATCAACAGGTTCCATAATTAGTCAAAGTGGCCGAAATGGATTAATCTCAATGTATCATTGTTTCATACACCATGATTCCGTGTGAGCCACAGATCACGGCTTTAAGCCCACATTATCCCAAGGTGTTTGATCTCTGGCTTAAGAATTAGGCAGTGATCACTGGACCGCCCAATGTGGTTCCCCTGACCACCGACCACGCTGAATATCCTCCACATCTCGTATCCATGTTCCTAGCCATTTCAACCAGTTCGTTTTCTGATTGCTTTTCTTTCTGCTCTCTCAGGATGTTGAGGACGTAGTCAGGAAGCTCGACGCCTGCTGCTTGTGCGGCGCGATATACCTCGACCCTATATCTATCAATAGCATCTGTAAGGGTGCTTCCAAGTCGATACATAGCGGTGTCTAAATCGTGGACCGCACTTTCCCGCTCATCATCGGCTATGAAGGATTGTTGGCCAAGAATCTTGAAATATACTCCCGGAAAGAATAATAATACTATTGCACGGAACGTGTTGTAGCCTCCAAATTATTTAAAGTACGGACCTTGATGATAATCTTGATCACCATAGTCAGCACGTACTATTCCCTCGTTATTGTGCCTAGGACACATGTCCTCGACGGGAATCGTGATTCCTGGTGTAAATGACGACGGTGTGCCCCTGCGCATGATGCAGCGACAGTAAAGATATCGGTGGGTGATGTTTACCAGAGGCTCCCATTTCATGGTAAGCCGGTGACACACTCTCTCTATAGATGACTCGTCTCCATTTGGCTTCTCTGGCTGCATAGGATTACTTTGCTTTTGCTGCTGCGAAGATTTCCCGGAAATGGGAGCCGGTAGAGCCTCTCCTGCGAAGGGTATGGCGTCCACGTCTATAGTCTCATAAGGAATATCACCAGGCTCTACCCAGCGGAACTACAGTAGACAGAGGGAGCTATATAGGCTCTAGTTAGCTCCATTATGCTGTGCCAAGGCTTGTGATAGCTTACTAGGAAGTATATGTCTGGCACTTTACGCTTTCAAGTTGCTTCTCTCCACAGCGAATACATTCGTGGTGATCGAATCCCGAATAGGTACTCATCACGAAAGAGACCTTAAGCCCTCGTCCTGATGTAATATGGATAGACCAAGTGTCACTGTCAAGCTTGGTCCTTCCATCCCAGCTCCAAAGCTCCAGATGAGCGTTTCTTACCAAGTTCTAATCCCGGAAGGTGCTTGTGTTGGAACTTGTACTGAAGAAGCTTCAAGAATGTCTGCAATGACCATTTAGTCTTGGCTAAAATATCCGATAGTGATATATACCTTTGGGGAAGAGCAAAGGTCCAGAGGGAGAAAGTAACATGGATCTAGACCATCATCGATACGGATATGTGGATCAGGGGTTCCCATTTCCCATGGGTACCCCAGATCTTTTGGCTTCAGAGAATGGGATGGCTCTAACGGTTGTTTTAACAGCAATGTCAGATTTTTGATCTGGTCGCGCAGCGACTCGAGTCCTTCTGTCTGTCGAACACCCATTCTCCTGACTTCAGATTAGCCCGGGCTCTGTGGAAAACCATACTGAACGTTGATTGATTCAAAATATAAAGAAAGGAGACACGCTCCCAATATACAAAGGACGAAGGTAAAACCACCTACAGTTGAAGGCCCTGTATCGAGCATACCAGCTGGCGATTTAGTTCTATAACTATAGCAGTCAGAAAATATCGGATATGTATTGCTACTCAGCCACTTCCCTAGGTGCGATATGTCGATTTCTCTATCCACAGATGTTCTAGTACACAGTTGATATGCATGGTCAGTTGATCGGGAAAACTATGGGGAAGTAGGTCTTACTTTCTCATTGATGTGTCCAAAGATTTTCAAATTCGGGTGTAAATTTAGTAAGTGTATCGTATCGCAGAAAACAAAACACAGATAAGAGATAAATTCTCCTCATGGGCCACGTCCCTTAGTCTAAATGAGCCTCTCTTACCAGTACAACAATAGGCAGTGCCGCAATAGTACTAAATATTGAAAACACTGCGCTACAATGTTAAGGTCCCTGATCACCAAGGGGTAATGATGACACTTACGTGCAGCAAATTGAAACCCATACAAGTAGCATTCACGGACAACACCCTGCATTGGGACTGGCAATGTACGGGCGAATTTGTCATCGTTGAGGATATCACGGACTAGCTAGTAACTCTTTAGGCTTCTAACATAGCTTAAAATTGAAGTAAACGTACCTCTGAGGTATTAGGTCGACCCCGTAGCTTCCAGTTTAATCTCGCCTGAAAATTTCCTTGGATCAAAGCGAAACCTATGGCAGGGCCTAGAATTCTACCTAGTTGTTGGAATAAGTAGTACGTGCCGGTGCATTGCATCAAGTTATTCTCTGTTAGCTCCGTAGTCATGCCAATGAACTGAGTAGTAAGGAACATTCCCGCTGCTAAGCCTGAGGGGAACAGAAACAGGATCTCCCAGATTTGTATACCCTCCCGCCACCGCAGGAAGACGACGAGGTAGGTTAGCACGAGTAGAACGATTGCGATGAGCTCTAAGCGCTTATAACGGCGTGTCCTTAATCGAGATAAGAGCTGTAAGCGGCACGTGAACATCCAGGATGCGAGGCGGCGACTCACTGTCTGACTAGGTGATTTGCCAGAATCCCTCCAACGGGTAGGCCGACAAGTAACATGCCACCTGCTAGGAGTGTTGTTATGTCACCACCAATGTTAGCTCGAGTGAAATAAGGAACTACGCTGGTGAGGAGCTACTCGTAGATGTTATCATCAGCCACAAATTGATACGTTACTAGGAAAGAGATTTACTCACCCCGGTCCGGCCGGACAATATTAAGAATTGTGAAAGACAGTATCCCCCAAACGCCTTTTTCATCGAGCCAAGAGGGAGTATTGGATGGGACGCCCAGGATGTCTCTATCCAAACAAAGATTGATATGGAGAAAATAGACCCAGCCCCTGTTATGTATAACATACGGGCTTGCTGGATTTGGCCCGGTTGAAGAGTCTGGATGAAGAGAATTAGTTGCACTAATGTGACTGCGAGACTGAATATACCAGCCCAATCAATGTTCTGGACTCCGGAAAGAAGACTCTTGTCCATTCTTTGCGAGGACTTTGGTGAATCAGGTGGGATCTGGTATACGACAATGAAGGCGCAGAGAAGAATCAACGGCACGTTGCTATAGAAACACCTATATTATTTAGCAACAGTTAGAACGAACAATAGCTTTGGAAGAATACTTCGAGGTACTTCACCATCTCCATCCGATTGTTTTTGTGAATAGAAACCCAACTGCAGCTCCCAAACTGCGCCCAATTGTATTGGCCACATCGGCGTAACTTCGAAGCCAAGTAGCCTTATCGGATGGGATGAGCCCTTACCAATATTAGTACAGTAGGGCCTTCCAATTTTGTGAAATTCGCACCGGTCACAGTGGAGGATGATGAGCAGATTATTCCCGCACTGGTAAGCCCAACTAATACTCTTGCTGCCACTAGCTGAGGCATTGAAGTACTAGCTCCGCTACAACATATAACAAGAAAATAGAAAGAAAATTAGCTAGTGTATACCCTTAGCATGAAATTGGTATCAGTGACTTGACAAACCAGAAGATATTCCCAGCAGCGAAGAGGAAATATGTCCATAACAGCGTCGTCTTCTTTCCGTAAAGTTCATCGAATGTCCCGAACTGGCCCACGGGGTTTGCATCAACACTGAACACAGGCATGAAACGAGTCGTTCGGAAGCTACTTACCGTAGGGGAGGAAATACAAGACCCTAGACTATACGACACAAGCAGCCATGCCCCTTTTGAGAGATCGTGAAAATCCGAGCCGATAGAGTTATAAACGGCAACAACCAACGTATCCCCGGAGCTTGCCAGAAGAACACCTGTGCTTTTTGTCAATTGGAGAGTCTTTATAGAGACAATGGATAAATTTACCAATGTATATGCCAGCAATAACTAACAGCTGTAATCGGCTTAGTCTAGCGGTCTCAGCTTTGTCGTCGAAGAATGGGCTGCCCCATGATCGAAGTGCCACTTCACTAAACATTTCAACTCGTCTCGGAGATTTTTGATGGCAGGTTGAGGTGGCTTTTCGCATTCATCCAAGCTATTTTCATTAACAGATGAGAGAGGGATGCCTTGGGCGGGTTTAGACCACTGTCTAATATGACTGAGATGTGATCCCAGGCGATGTTGAGAATGTCTGGAATTCCCAAATTCTCAAATTGCTGCACCTGGTGACAACAACCAACTTGAACGTGACATAGTACATATAGCCCACTATCATTCTGCGAAGCCGTGTGTAGTTTAAATCTTCACACCCCCCTCTAACACCATCTACTCATGTCAGAGAGCAAAACAGCAATGAAAGCTGCAGCCACTCTTCAATAGACTATATTTAGATGAGTTTTTTTTTTTTTCCTGCTTGTGTGCGGAAATCCACAGTACAAGGCAGCCCCTTGCTTCCTAGATGTACATCGAGCGAGGTATGCAGCAGGTATTATTCAGTATTGATCGACACCAGCCCCTGGCAGCGACTCCCTATATTATCACAAAGTAGCCCCAAACTCCCAGTATATATCTTTGGATTTATCATATGCACTCTCTTTTATTTGACATTGATCGGCACCAGCCCCCAATAGCGTCCTCCGATCGGTGGATTAGCTGCAGATACCATCAAACTAGGATGGAAGATAACAAAGACCCCGACTGCTATAGCCATCATTACTGCATCCAATATGATAAAATATTTCTCATGTGTGATGAGATATCCCGTCCATCCTTGGGATAGCTCAGCTAGCCGGTATATACTTCGTGTACAGATACATAGAACACTGAGAACCATAGCAGCAAACAGAAATAAAACTCCTTTGGAAATCTTACCTCGTGGGGGATAGATGGTTCTCAAGACACAGTCTACCATACAGGTGGCAAAGGCTAGTGTTGAGGCCATCTGAAATGCAATCCCGGCAATCATGATATGGGTCCCATTGCTCATATCACGGTGAGCATTGAGTGCAGCGGAAGCAAGGCCGCCCCCAACGGCTTGGACTGCGAGCGAAATGATATCGCAGACAGTAAAGAACCAGAAGTAGCAATATGACCGGAAGAAGGAAGATTTCCGTCCAAAGATTCGGATGATATACCCCAGGAGTAGGTAAATTCCGGCTGAGAAAAAGGTTGGGGCTGGATATTAGTTAGCTAAGCCACTGACTGAACTCTGTGGCATATCACAATTATACTGACCTATTACCAGGGTAGCCAGCTGCATAAGAAATGCAGATTTGGTATATGGGCATTTTGCCGACCATGTTCTAGCAGCCCATCCCAGGATCTCCACTATATGGCAATAGATAGATTAGTCCCTACTAAACTCTACATTGAAATGAGTTTCAAGAGATATGGCCAGGATGTGTTCACGCACCTAAGCAGCCAATGGCGAAGACCATACACCACCACGTTTTTCTGCGAATACAATGGACAACGTGTAAAATCATCAATATACTGAAGAGGATTGAAAAGAACACTCCAGCTGCCAAAGAAGGCTGATATCCATAGAGGTTCGGCACGCCGTCGATAACTGGATGACAGGCCAGGTGCTGGCCTTGCCAGGAGTTTGGCATCCTTATGAGAGCAAATAATCTGTTTGTTGGAGCCCAAATTTGATCCTAAAGAAAGGATCAACGACATGAGTGTTTTGTGCTTGGAGTTGAGGCAAGGCCGCATATATAGAATTCCCTCGGCATTCCGGAATGAGTCTCGAATATGCTTCATGATGAAGACGCCGATCCTCTCAGAAACGGAAAAGTCAGATCGCTCGTACGAAGATCGGCGGTCGAGAATGCCAAATGAATGCTCAGCATAACAAAGTGGAACCATCCGTATATCACATTCAATTTTAGAAGCTGAGAACAATGCCACCAATCAGTAGTCCGTAATTAGGTGGATCCACAACAAAACATGAATATCATGTTCGGGCCCTTAAAGTGGACTATTGGCCCATGTATGAAGCGTATTAGTAATTATTAGAGGTGAGCTCTGATATATCAGAAAAGCGCACAAAGCGCCTAGAAAAAGGTCTTCTGAAAGATAAAACATGACCTTGTCTCTCCCCATTTTGAGCTGTTGTATGACCTTGAGGTTCCTGGTCATGTGCGATTGCTAATACTCTAAGCTTATCTTAGTGATTGCACACTCATCTTCCCCGGATCCAAAATTTACAAAGGATCTTGTTCACTATGGCAAGTACTCTCCAATCAGTGCTTTCGATATTCGCTAACGCAGGGTATCTGCTAAAAGTCCGCTCTGTCCGGGGTTTCCATTGGTTTGCAGGTACTGGCTTTTGCATTCCTGATACCTTCAGCTTTTACTCTTAGGGTAAGTTACTCGGCGATATAAGATCCTCTAATGCTTTTTTAGACCGGCATAGCTAACGTCTGGGAGATCGTTCAATCGAAATGGGCCACGGCTGTGGAGGTTCTAGCGGTCCTAATATCGCTGGTTGGGCTCTGGATCTATGGCGGTAGTGGATATCACACGTATATAATCCCCCAAGTCGGATTGACTATTCTTCTGTTTATACGACAATCACTGGGACTATATATTCATCAAAAGCAGAATATTCACTCCGCATATGTTGCGAAACGCCTGGGCCATGCTTACAGTCTTGCAACCATAGGACTGTTTACTCTTGGTTGGTACCATATAACAGCTGGGTCCCTGGAGTCTGTTGGTATTCGCGATCACTACTACAATACTCTCTCACATGCAATTCTCCTGCTTCTTGCAATGAGCGAAGGGCTCCTACTGCTCTCTTCTGCTGCTGGGCTGTGGCCGCGTCAGAGTAATCAGACGCCCGACTACTATGATTCTGTACTCCTTCTTGTGTGCAGCTTAGTTTTTGTGGTGGTCTTGATAGTCGGGTACCACGCAGACGAGGACTGGCATTTTCTTCTTACACGGTTAGAGCATTTCGCGTACACAATAATGGTGTTTAGTGGGGCAATAGCCAGCATCATGGTTAGTACGAGAAAGGGACATCAGACCAAGAGAAATATTATACCAGCACTTATCACTGTGGTCCTCGGGCTATTGTTCACCTCTCATCAACAAGAGGCTACACTAGTGAAGAAAGTCCACGAAACCATGGGGTATACTATGGTGGTTGCGGCGGCTTTCAGGATTGTGGAAATCCTGGTTGTGCCCCATTGGGCGGCCAAGGCTCCAACAGACGTCCATAGCAATCTGCGTTATGTGACCCCACTGGTATTATATTATCTTGCTTTGAGTGTTTGAATCTATTTCTGACAGCTTCTAGGTTATCGTAATTCTTAGCTTCGTAGCATTCGGATCGTCGAGGGATCTGTGTGCAGCAATTGAACAAACTGGATTCATGGCTCCCGCATACGTGGCCATTCTATACACATGTGGCTTTTTCTACTTCTCCTGTGGGGTTATCAATCGTTTATTACTTTTTACGCACTCAATGCTGACAGCTGTAGTTCTTACCACCCTCATTCATCGCATCAAGGATCATTGGTATCCTGACGGATGTGATGAAAAATACGAATACTCATCTTTGCCGGAAGTGCAGTCGGACAGATTTGGATGCAATCAGAACTTGGACTGAAATGGTCGCCTGTGGTTTTCCTCATAAGTGGCAGTCGCTCCAGTTAGTCTAGACTCAAAGAGACATTGCTAGCTAAGGTCTGGTGTTTTACATGTTGCCCCTTTTTCAGGAAAAAGAGAAAGAAGAGGTGGAGGGCTAGGTCGGAGAAGGAAAGTGTAGGTGTCTGGCACATCCCTTGCAGAGCAATACATCATATTGAAAGAACGATATTTGGTATCACCTGGTAATCTAGGCCTAAACCTAAAAGGGTCTAATTGGCGGTAAATCCAGGTCTGATTCGGGTAGTTCTTATCGTATATGTCATCAAGTCAAGAATTCAAGAATGGATACGAAAGGCCTCCAGATCGCCCATTAAAAAGATCTATCGAAAATTGTATGGTTGAACATAGCACCCTGTACTTAGGAGATATCCACAGCATGATTGCAAACATTCAAGGCCCTAGCCGTGTTGCAGAGTCGTTTATGGTATTTGTTGGGAATCAACGCAATTATTTATGGGAATATCGATACCTCACATTACTTAAGATGCTAGCTCAGACTTAAGTTACGCTTTGCCAGCTATGCCTTCGTTGACAACCTCTTCTTGTCCCAATCTATCAAAGAACTTTTTTCCCACCTTGTTATTTCACCCCGTCGAAGAGGACGCCATACGTAACTGATGGAAAGATTATATAACTCGGCTTGCAAGGCCTTTTTGCATGATGCCGGGGATCGAACCTTGAATCGAGAATGTCTGGCCGGGACTCGAATAAACACTTATGATGGTATTTTTCTTTCGGTTATTCTGCTGTTCGGTGCGGCTTTGAATCGCGTCATGCTGGATTCTCGCGCTTTTCACTCTTTTTACGGTCCGATGTACGGGGCGCTTACTGCTCGGGAACAACAACGGTTTTGCTTCCACCATGTGAATGTAGTGCTAAAGGGTATCCTGTTGATCTGCGTATCATCTTCCATTGTGCAGGTCACGATAGGTGGCAAGGAATGGACGGATCCGTATTACCACAACTCGTCCGTGACTCTCTGGGAGACATCAACCTTCGCCAGTTATATCGTGGTTGCGGTTAGTCTCCTTGACCTCATTTACGACACGAGTCTACGCCGAGTATATATGGTTCATCATGTGGGAGTCCTCTTGGCAGTTCAAGGCCTCGTATTTTCCATTGTGAACGCACCAGTAGAGAGGGCACAGGAAATGCGGTACCTAGGAAACATGTCCGAAATTGGCATGTTCTGGGGTAAGTGACTGTCCCCCTACCTATGTATGTGGGCATGCATTGACATAGTGATAGTCCTGTTCTCGGGGATGCCAGGTTTCACATCGCATCTGACGCTTATACTCAGACGATGCTTTACGCACGGAGATGTCAAGATGCGTAACCTCTACTATTATGCGTTCTATGTGAATATCTCAGTAACGGCCCTCGAAGTTGTGTCAATCTCTTACCTCACTTACGCAAGCCGGAACAGATTGCCTGTCGCTGCTGCGATCGGTATCGGTGCTCTGCAGGTTTTATTCACTTACACAAAAGTAAATAAATGCCAGCGTATCTACGCTGTGTATGAGGAACAGTTGGCGGCGCTCAACAAGATCCGACTATGATTACTGCACAGACCGCCAAAGTTGTGTCTTATTGCATGAATGTGCCCCATACAAGCTGTTTTAAGAAGCTCAGTTGCGTCGCCAGGTTTATTGGGGGTTGTATTGGGAGAGGATTAGCTATGGATACTTAGGGAGTAAAGATATCAATCAAATGCTGCGTTTATATAGCTAATTAGCATAATAATCCTGATTTGTTGACAAAGCTGTTTCATATTGTACACGATGGAAACGAGGTTTCTAAAAAGTCTCCCGTTTACTTATTCTGTCTTTTTTTTTTCTTTATAGAACACAGGGAACAAGTTGGACTCTCCACACCCTATGGTCATCTCATGGAAGAATGTTTGGTACCGTCGTAACTCGCAATCACGGCCTACTGTAACTTATGTCTTACCAACTTTCGCTTCGATCCTGACAGGTATGATCTGACGAAAAACCGAACAAAGAGGAAAGTCAACGGTATTAGATAGAGTGTGGTCAAGAGCAATGCAAACACTTGTCCGCTGTTGTCCAAACAGGGTATCAGTTGGAAATTATCCTTATGAAAGGATATGTTCGTTCGACTCGCGTTTCCACGGTTTTCTTCGCGTTTGTTATGTAATGAAGCCAAGGGAGGCCAGATGGACGCATCGTACGAAATAAAGATGTACGACCATGCCAAAATCGAGCCCAAGATGAACTGGGCGATTTGCATCCCAGTAAGGGTACGCTTGAGAAAGCCAGGTATTGAAACCTTGAGTGTGGTAAGGGTGTAGTAAAGATACTGGTTATAGACAATCCTTAGCGAATGCTTGAGGGAGAGCTCGTGGCTGCTTGGCACTTACCATGATTGTATGAATCACTGAGTTCAACAGAAGGCCGACGAGACCCGGTGGAGACATATATCTCACACCTGCCCATGTGCATAACATGACACCTGCATGATGATAAGTTTGCAGGAAGGAACTCTTCTTTCCTTTCATAAGGAGGAGCATTGTATCGACGATCTCATAGAATTTTGACATATAGAACATCCACATGTAATAATCAATACCGCGGTCCCATAAGGAATCAAAGTTCAACATTCCGGGGTGGAGAATTTCCAAACTATGATCATTTAGATCGAGCTGTGAATGTGCTTCTGATACCGAGCTCTGCATAAAATAGCTCAATTCATCTTTCCGATCGAACTTGCAAAGTATGTGTACAGCGGATGCAAGAGGTGGGTTGTTTCGTTGATCCATTAGGGTCGATTTAATTATTTGATAAGTCCCCAGGGTAATCCATGCCGAGAAGAGCACCAGGCCCACGTTATGGATGAGCACAAACTGATAAAATAGTGGGCTACGGGTTAGGGGCCATGGACGGTTCTGTCGCTTTCGATTGATATAATTGAGAGTACAGACGGTCAATGCGTAGAGGGTGGCGATAAGAAGAGGTAGTTTAACATCGAGCGTGTGATAGAACAGAGCCGGACTTATGTTGATAGGCCTTTCCCACGATAGCTGGGACCGCGATGCGGGACTGGTAGGTAGGGGATGAGAGTTGGGAGGAAGTTTGAAAAGGTGAGGATCAGGTAGTCCAATGTACATTGGAAACTTTGAGTCCGCCATAAGGTAACAGCAAGAGGTGGGCCAGTAGTAAAGCGAAGGTGGTAAGAAAGAAATGAAAACCAGCGTGAGTCCCAGTGGACAAAATAATACAACTGCACTTTGGCATCTTGAGTGGTGGGGATGGAGGCTTCAGCTAGATATACCAACTTCTTCTTACAAGATTCCCCAATCGGCGGAATATTTCAAGACAAGATGTTCGACATATTTTTTTTTTTTTGTCAGAGGCTACAAAATATTCGTAGCTGATGAATACAACCTACATGGAATAAGTAAACCGTGCAAATCTTTTCCCCAAAGCAATAGAAGCCTGTGTGATACAGTGGATATTTCAGCCCGGTACATATCAATAACTCCGAGATTCTTCTAGTGTCGAAGGTGGATTATTGTATCTGTCACATACAGGGTGCGTCTGATATCATAAAGATATACGACACACCTTCCATAACGTAACAATTACTTTTTAGATACAATGCAATAAAGTGGGGTATATTACAAGTTAGAATATAACCTATCCTAGCGGCAAAACTATAGAAAAGGGGGTTTAATAGTACCAAATATTGTTAACTCAACTGTTAGGAATATTTACATAGTTCCTTGACAAAGCCATACGTTAATGAACAGTGGAGCCCAGTTTGAAAACCCAAAGCATAAACCTCTTGCTGTAGATCTCAATATTAGCACACATCACTAGGTATTCAGCTGAATCACAGTACTAGTCAAGTTGGTGATGTGGAAACTACTGGATATAATGGACCTGTCATATAGAACATGTAAAATACAATATATACTTACATTACTGATACATACTAAAGATGAAGCCGCCTTTTTACATTAATCTATCTTGTGTAATTGTAGTCATGCCCAATGCAGAAATTTACTGCTTTACTGCTTTCATACAAAATCACGCAAAACATCGCTTTCCAGTATCTTTGAACCGTGTCTGCAATGGAAATATATCACGCTTTCGTTCAGAGAATCTCGAAGCTTGTGAAACAACTCTACTAATAACGGGGATGGGAATGCTCTCATTGATAGAATATCGTCTGCTTTAGAGTTACACAAACTTAGTAACTTAGTATAGACCCCATGTATTGCATTCAATATAACACTCCAGTGTCGGTGATAGGATTTCATGTGACTCTAATCTAGCCCAGTACACAGATATAGTCCCTGGTATATTGCCATATAACCGGGAATGCACTCATAATCGTCTTCGTTTCTAGTGTTGCCGATGTACTTTTCCAAGAAATAGAAATGCTTAACATACTTGAGCAAAAAGGGCTGCCAGGCTTGTCGAGCCTAGGGGTGCCAAGCAATCATCCTAACCCCTAAAACCCGCCTTTAATATCGCAGACCATTGACTCCCTTCCTAAATTCTACATTTACTCTACCAGAATACTATCTTTGGAGGACCTTGAATATGTACTTTCAATATTTTGCGGTCACTTCGTTGTTTTGTTTACTTGCTATTGCGCGTAGCGAAGCGCCCAAGGCTCCTCCAAGTATTGACTCACTAGGCACACTACTGGCCTTGAAATACAATTACCTAGACCCCTGGAACAATGGAACAGCAGCTGTGCTGGCCTATGAGCCTCTGAGCAACGCAGAGGCGCAGGCCAAATGCGGTGCCATTGGAGAACGTCTCTACCCTTTCCAGGATACATCTGAACTCAATCGCACCGAATTGGGTTACGAACTTGACTATCTCGTCCATATCCAGGATCTACAGCCGTACTCTACACTGTGGATAGGTTCATCTGGGAGCTCTGGGCATGCCTGCACAGCATATTCTCAAAAAGATAAGGCTGCCATCCCGCTACCTTGCCATAGAAAACTTCCGACAATTTGCACCTCCACTGCTCCCCCTACTAAAGACATACACATGGAACGTGTGAAGTCTTCTCGGCTTTCTGTATCGTTTGATGACTATAATATAACCGGTTATCGTGATGCTCGATCATTTAGGTTCTTGGGAATACCATTTGCGAACCCCCCGGTCAATGAGTTACGGTTCGCACCTCCGCAACCATATACTGGACAGAAGGACATCGACGCAACGAATCTACCAGCCTCCTGTATTCAATCCCCGTCAGGCTTTGGAACTCTTGAAAACAGTCAAATCTCAGAGGACTGTCTTTACCTGAATATTTATACCCCCGTGCTACCAGCCCAGCTTGAGAAGAATGTTACACACAGACCTGTTGCGGTTTACTTCTACGGGGGTGGATTCACTAAAGGTAGTACGGCTATTATTGACTACGATGGTGGTAACTTTGCTAGCCGGAATGGTATTGTCGTTGTCACTGTCAATTACCGTGTCGGTGCCCTGGGCTGGCTTGCAACAAAGAAGCTCACTACTGGGAGCTACGGTACTCGGGACCAGATATTGGCTTTGAAATGGGTTCAACAGCATATAACAACATTTGGTGGAGATCCTTCACAGGTTACTATTTTTGGCCAGTCTGCTGGTGGCCAAAGTGTAATTGCAATGCTGTCTTCAAGTGCCGCCAGTGGCCTTTTCTCCGGTGCAGTTGTGCAGTCAGCTGCCCTGGATATACCCTGGTATTCACGCCAGATGTACACAGAGATAATTACCCCAGAGGTTGCAAAAGCTGTCGGATGTGATGATGCTGATGAGCTTGACATGCTGTTCTGCCTGCGTTCTGTCCCTGCGGCTAGGTATCTCGACAATTCTACCGAATTGATGCATGCATCAGATAAAATCGCCAAGGCTGTTGCAGATAACTATCTGCATACCAAGAAAGTCCAGGTTTCCAGCTCACCACTCATGCCTATTTTCGATGACCATGACTCAGGCATTATTGATGACCAATTTCATACCTTGCTTGAGACCAATCGTCTCCCAAACGCTGTCCCTATTATGTTGACTACAGTGACCAATGAAGCCGCCCTCTACGTGGATCGCTATGTGCCTAACATTCCTTTACTGGGTAACACCAAGATTGTACTTGACATATTCTTCAATGCTGTCTATCCTTCTAGTCTGGCGGAGTCTCTTATTAACTCAGACGCCTTCCCTATCAACGCCAGCGACCCCGATAGCCTCCGAAACACCGGTGCCAACGCTCTCACCCACTCAAAATGGCACTGCCCTCAGGCCTATCTACTCCAGCACGGTGCCCGTACAGCACTTCCCCATGTCTATACCGTCCAGATCCAGCACGGACATGTTCAAACTACTGTTGATGTCCCGAAAGTCTGTTCTCCCAATGACAACTATAACGCCACATGCCATACATCTGATGTTTTGCCTGTCTGGGGTACCTTAAACTCGAAGACCCAGAATGTTGACCCATATTACGGCTCTAGAGATATCAGTCACTCCCAGATGCTGAATGACATCTTCAGCTCGTTCTTTCGTACCCGTAACCCGAATCCCGATCCTGAACTTCTCAAAATCCGCGGTCCAGCCTACTTTTCCACTTTCGATATTTTTGGCACCTCTGGATATCATATACCTGAATATCAAGCTGACGCTGACAGCCTGTGCTCACTCGAAATACCACCAAGTCATATTCCGAATCCGGCCAAATCTGTTGGATGCGACGTATTTACTAAATACGGTTATCCATTCCAGCATGTAGATTACAGCAGTTAGGATCTATATGGCTGTCATATGGCGGGCGTTGATTGGCGTAATCTTGGATGGAGGTAATTCATCACTGGTTGATTAAAGGTGGATTAGGTATTCTTGTACGTCAGTTTTAGGTGGCTAAATTGAGGATTTTTAATTGACATATATCCATATTATTAATTTCCTGAGCGGGTCTCTCGCCTTCGACTTTCGATCACGAGGCCTGGTCGAATGATAATAATGCGCTCCGAGGTAACATGTACTTGCATTTGTTTTCGCAATTCTATCAATCAGAAGGCAAGGGCATTCACTGTCCCTATAAATCACACCTTTAGCTAGTATCATATCCTGAAATTTATCTAGATATGGCCCCTAACTAGGTATGAAAGCAATAGCATACGCTGCGTACTCCTAGTGAGGCCGTATCTCGGTTATTCACACGTAAGTTATATAGCCAATCGAGCTGTCTAGCTATTTTAGCTTACAGTAAACAAATCCAAGCCCCGACAGTTATTAATAGCTTACTAGACTATTTCATTAGGACTCTCTTGGTCCTTATCTTTCTCCTGAGTAGAGATAGATATAATAGTCTTTAGATACATTGCAGGAGGTTCCTAAAGAGTAATGTTCAGTCTTGTCCTGTCCCTACCTTATGAGGGTTAGATCATTGTATTTATCGCTTGAGTATTCATACTTCGCTCATTTTTACTTATTATTCACCCAGTATTAGATATAGCCAACCTTCACTTGCCACCATTTCTCTTCTACAAAGAGAATGACAAATGTAGTATGTATGCGACCCAAAAATGCAAGTGAGCAATGGATGCCGGTAAACCTTGCTAGCACCACATAATTCTACGCTGTTCTTGTTTCTCAGTAAAAAGAACCATGCTAAGTCAGTATATTCAGGCACAAGAGTTATTGTTGACCAAAAGAGACTGTAGCTCGGTTTACCTAGCTTTGAAGTCCGATAAGGAATCGAAGTAAGCAGCTGGAATTCATCATGCTTCAAGTAATTTATGGAAGTATTCTGTTTCATGATAGAGCGCGCAGGAACCTTTCAATCTGTTCAACTAGCTCACTCGGATCCATGACAGGAGTATTCTGTATGAGAGTCACCATATAATTTAAACCGTTCAACGATCTGGGGTGTTCCTCTCGGCTCCCATTCATCTAGGGATCGTGTCACGGCGGTGGTTAGGCCCTGAACGTACTCGGACATTAACTCGGCTTTTTTACCGGGGCTTAGTTTCGCCTTCTAACGGTTCCCATTGACCAGGAGAGAAGATGAATAAAGAACTGACCCTGGCAGCGTGAGCTGGAAATAGTTGTTAATCCGACCTCAATTCCGTCTTAAATCCGCCCTAAAACATTTATATGATAAGTCCCTGCTTTGGCGAACATAAAGGTTGGGAATGTAAAGTATTAAAACTTCATCCTGGGGATAATAGATAACAATTATCCCTATGGACATGGTCTCCTCGAAATCCC